ATAAAAGAAAAAATAAATTTTAACCCTGTTATATTCTGCTTTATTTTATTCCTCTTAGATTTTAAGACTTAACTGGTGCTCGTAGCTTCTGTAACTAATATTAATCTGGAGCAGGCTGCCAGGTCCAGGACTCAAACTACTAGTCTGCATGTGGGAGTCCAGCATCCTTAACCACCATGCTACTTGCTGGCCCAATAAGTGGAAGTTTTAATAACAGATTAAGTGCAGTTTAAGAATGATATAACATATTGGATATTTTTCAAAGGAGGACTATAACAGAATAAGACAAAAAAATTTAAAAAAATAATGTAAGAGAAATAGATGATAGCTTCAATTTATACATATATTATAATATATATTTTATAGCTTATATTGAAGTATATTTATTTGGAGACCTAGAAGATGTGAGATAAAATGAAGATTTAATATTTGAAGAGATAATAGTTGAAAATGTCCTTGAACTAAGGAAAGACATTAATCCACAAATATATTTTTATGTATACCTGATAGCAAAACTACATAAACCAGAAGAACAACAAAAAAGCAAGAAGAAAAGAAAAATTAATTAAAAGAAGCAAAAAATTAATACAAATTGCCCTTCAAAGTAGTGATTTGACTGACAGTTGACTTTCTCTTAGCAAAAATGGCAGAAAAGAAACAGCAAAAAGATGTCTTTGGTGGTTTGAAAGAACACAACTTCATATCTTGAAGTCTAAACCAAGTAAAAATAACACTCAGGAACTAAAGTGAAGTGAAACTGTTTTTCATAAAAGCTGGGAGACTTTCTCTAAAACAGTCATATTAACATACATCTTTAAGAGTAAAACCCTCGAGGGTTTTTGATACAGCTTATGATAAAGTTTTCCACAACAGAAAATGAATGCACCATATTATTCAACAGACCTGTCAATTGCTTAATTGAAAAATGCCTATTTAATATGAATTTTTACAAAAGAAAAGATCATTAGGATAAACTGTTTTAAAAATACACACAATATCAGATCTAAAAGAAGTTTAATGATAAGTATATTATTTATGAAACAAAATCAGAAGTATGAAAATGGGATTTTTCTTTTAAGAGAAATTTTTCTTATAAAGTGCGTGAGCTCACCAGAGACTCAGAGAGAGACAGAGAAATAGAAAGTGAGAAAACATGCCCCATGATTGATGGCCACACTATAATCCCTTCTCCATTCCACTCTTGGGATTTCGGAAACACGCACACACACACCTGGAGTGAGTTGTAAACCACTGGGTCTGGGACTTGAACTATGATCAGACATGAGGAAATACAGCACCACAACCACTTTGCCACTTACTGGCCATGAAAATATGAATGTTAAGAGACACAATTTAAAAGAAAACATGAAACAAAACACACTAGACATACGTACTATCTCTGGTTTATTGGAATATAGTGGTGATAGTCTGTGGTTCTGGAAGTTTCATGTTTTCAATACTAAATGCATAATGTGTGAAATTATAGACTGATTGTTATTATTATTTTTCTAAGTCCAGATGATCAGTGTGTTTAACCTTTACATGTGTAAATTAATTATATTTTAAATTACTAAGAAGGGATTTTCTTCAAATTATTTTTGTTGTAGCTCCTGAAGAATGCTTGACCAAGATTCTCTAGGGTTTGATTCCCCAAGGTTAGTATTAGATGTAAAAGGCACGGCATGATACTTAAGTTAGAGTCCAGGTCTAATCTCCCTTTGAGAGGCTCTCTCTGTTTCCAATTTTTTTGAAACATTATTTTTTTTCTATAATAATGGAGAATTTATAGCCAAATAGATACAAATAAATCAAAGCAGTATGACTTTGAAATTTAGAATAATCACAAGTTTTCTGGAAGAGTGTTGCTTAGCTTTTGATATTAAAAGGTACTAAAGCTTAGCACTTAATGTACAAAGAGGTTATTCCAGCTGGAAGAGATAATTTGATGAGGATATTAAATGGCAAAAGAACATGTAATGCGTGAAAGTTTGATAATTCTGGTGTGAGTAAAACAGAAGGTGTATCAGTACAGGTCATGTGTGTGTAATGTGATGTGAGTAATTATGGAAATTCAGACCAAAGTGTCCAGCTTTCAGGTGTTTTGTAAGAAGATCATTTTGAAAATGTGTAAGGACTTTACACCATTCTGCAATACTTATATTGAAGTATATTTATTTGGAGACCTAGAAGATGTGAGATAAAATGAAGATTTAATATTTGAAGAGATAATAGTTGAAAATGTCCTTGAACTAAGGAAAGACATTAATCCACAAATATATTTTTATGTATACCTGATAGCAAAACTACATAAACCAGAAGAACAACAAAAAAGCAAGAAGAAAAGAAAAATTAATTAAAAGAAGCAAAAAATTAATACAAATTGCCCTTCAAAGTAGTGATTTGACTGACAGTTGACTTTCTCTTAGCAAAAATGGCAGAAAAGAAACAGCAAAAAGATGTCTTTGGTGGTTTGAAAGAACACAACTTCATATCTTGAAGTCTAAACCAAGTAAAAATAACACTCAGGAACTAAAGTGAAGTGAAACTGTTTTTCATAAAAGCTGGGAGACTTTCTCTAAAACAGTCATATTAACATACATCTTTAAGAGTAAAACCCTCGAGGGTTTTTGATACAGCTTATGATAAAGTTTTCCACAACAGAAAATGAATGCACCATATTATTCAACAGACCTGTCAATTGCTTAATTGAAAAATGCCTATTTAATATGAATTTTTACAAAAGAAAAGATCATTAGGATAAACTGTTTTAAAAATACACACAATATCAGATCTAAAAGAAGTTTAATGATAAGTATATTATTTATGAAACAAAATCAGAAGTATGAAAATGGGATTTTTCTTTTAAGAGAAATTTTTCTTATAAAGTGCGTGAGCTCACCAGAGACTCAGAGAGAGACAGAGAAATAGAAAGTGAGAAAACATGCCCCATGATTGATGGCCACACTATAATCCCTTCTCCATTCCACTCTTGGGATTTCGGAAACACGCACACACACACCTGGAGTGAGTTGTAAACCACTGGGTCTGGGACTTGAACTATGATCAGACATGAGGAAATACAGCACCACAACCACTTTGCCACTTACTGGCCATGAAAATATGAATGTTAAGAGACACAATTTAAAAGAAAACATGAAACAAAACACACTAGACATACGTACTATCTCTGGTTTATTGGAATATAGTGGTGATAGTCTGTGGTTCTGGAAGTTTCATGTTTTTAATACTAAATGCATAATGTGTGAAATTATAGACTGATTGTTATTATTATTTTTCTAAGTCCAGATGATCAGTGTGTTTAACCTTTACATGTGTAAATTAATTATATTTTAAATTACTAAGAAGGGATTTTCTTCAAATTATTTTTGTTGTAGCTCCTGAAGAATGCTTGACCAAGATTCTCTAGGGTTTGATTCCCCAAGGTTAGTATTAGATGTAAAAGGCACGGCATGATACTTAAGTTAGAGTCCAGGTCTAATCTCCCTTTGAGAGGCTCTCTCTGTTTCCAATTTTTTTGAAACATTATTTTTTTTCTATAATAATGGAGAATTTATAGCCAAATAGATACAAATAAATCAAAGCAGTATGACTTTGAAATTTAGAATAATCACAAGTTTTCTGGAAGAGTGTTGCTTAGCTTTTGATATTAAAAGGTACTAAAGCTTAGCACTTAATGTACAAAGAGGTTATTCCAGCTCGAAGAGATAATTTGATGAGGATATTAAATGGCAAAAGAACATGTAATGCGTGAAAGTTTGATAATTCTGGTGTGAGTAAAACAGAAGGTGTATCAGTACAGGTCATGTGTGTGTAATGTGATGTGAGTAATTATGGAAATTCAGACCAAAGTGTCCAGCTTTCAGGTGTTTTGTAAGAAGATCATTTTGAAAATGTGTAAGGACTTTACACCATTCTGCAATAAAATTTAAATTAAGATAACCTTGCAGGCGAAAGAAGACAGGGAAGCTGAAGACCCTTTGTTAGCGTGCTAAGTAGGAGGTGCTGGGACAGTAATAAAGACAGAAGCATATTTTGGAGATTGCTTTCATTTTGCCATAACTGCTTTTCTGAGATGAAAAGGCAATTAAAAAGAGTCAGATAAGAGCAATAAAAATAAAGTGAAAAAATAACTAATTTGCATGAAGGATTGAAGTAGTTGTGAAAATGTGCAACTAAGACAGAAGTTAATGGAATCAGGAAACAGTGCTGCTTTAGAGCTTCTTTGAATAAACGTTTCCACTTCCTGTTCTCTATTTGTACCACTCCATACTATAGGTTATTCATTAGAAAAACTAACATTTTAAAACAGTCATATACCCACATCTCCAGTCATATAGAATTGGGAATGAGATCTTATTATACCTACTTAACTGAGGAAATTTACTACTGTGAATTTTGACACTGCCTTAAAAATAAAAAAAAGCACCAGAATAGAAATACTTTGTCACTCTCTCCAATAACAGATGCCATCCATTATAATCTGATCTATTCCCCAGCACTGAAATGTGCTTTTTTGTTTGGTTGGTTTGGGTTTTTTTTTTTTTTTTTTTTTTTGCTTTTATTTCTCTTAATCTTTCTTCCCATAAAACTGACTTTTCAGTGCATCTCATATGCTAGTTCATAATTATCTGATTTTAATAGGGGCAGAAATAGTATAATTATTTAGTTTGTGTGTATATATGTATAACATTTGTAAGAGAACTTTATGAACTAATCACTATATTTCTTGTTTTGTAGATGAAGAAAATGAGTTACTGATAGGAAAAGAAAGAATACACATTCATACACTCAGTAAGTAGCTAAAGATTAAAATGAGACAGAAGAAAAGAGTCAAAAACCAAAACAGAAATAGACATTGTGCACATCATACTTCAGGGGTTCCTCTCTGGGAACCCACCTTCATGCCCTAACACCCACTTATTTCTGTGGTATCCAGCTGCTTCGGATGAACTAATAGATTTCCTCCCACAGGAATCAGAATGCTGAATGAGGGAAATCTGAGTATTGGAGCCCCTTTTGTCCTGTTGGGCTTCTCAGAATACCCACAACTCCAGGCACCCTTATTCCTGGTGTTCTTGACCATCTACACAGTCACTCTGGTGGGAAATCTGGGCTTAATTGTGGTCACAAGGATCAATCCCAAACTGCATACACCCATGTACTTTTTCCTTAGGCATCTGTCCTTTCTGGATATTTGCTATTCCTCGGTCAGCACACCCAAACTGTTAGAAATCTTGGTTGTGGAAGACAGAACTATCTCCTTCAAAGGATGCATGACACAGTTTTTCTTTGGCTGCACATTTGTGGTTACAGAAATGTCCACCTTAGCGGTGATGGCTTATGACCGGTTTGTGGCTGTTTGTAACCCCTTGCTCTACACAGTTGCACTATCTCACAAGCTCTGTGCTCTCTTGGTAACTGGGACTTATTTGTGGGGTGCACTCTGTTCCCTCATCCTCACATGTTCTCTTTTGGAACTATCCTACTGTGGACCTAACATCATCAATCATTTTGGATGCGAGTACTCCGCCATTCTCTCCCGCGCCTGTTCTGACCCCTACTTCAGTCAGATGGCGTGTTTAGTCATTTCTGTCTTCAATGAGGCTTGCAGCCTCCTGATCATCCTGGCCTCCTATGTCTTCATCCTTGTCACTATCATCAGCATGCCCTCTACAGGTGGACTCCGCAAAGCCTTCTCTACTTGCTCCTCTCACCTGACTGCTATCTCCATCTTCCATGGGACCATCCTCCTTCTCTACTGTGTGCCCAACTCTACGCGCTCATTGCTTCTCATCAAAGTGGCCACCGTGTTTTACACCATTGTGATCCCCATGCTGAATCCCCTCATCTACAGCCTTAGAAATAATGACGTGAAGGAAACTGTGAGAAAATTAATTCACACCAAACTGCTTTCTCATTCAATATAATTTTCACATACACATAGGCAAATAAAATCACATACTAATAGTTCTTTTTAAATATGTTTTATATGGGGCCAACAGGTAGCATAGTGGTTAAGAGGCTGGACTTCTATATTTTGACAGTGGTTCAATTACCAGCGTACATGAGAATGGAAGAGAAGAGATTCTGGCTTGGCCATTCCCCATGAAGTGGGAGGAGGGGATTCCTCATTTTCTGTTTCTCTGGTGAGCCCAAGTGTCCTATAGCAAAAATTTCTCAAAATGACTTGTTTTATGCATTCTATGATGGTTATTACATTTTCTTTCTACTTTTTAAAAAACATTCCTTTTCCACAGGGCTTGTACGCTTGCTTGAGAGAGATGGAAAGAGAGAGGTCTTAATCATCTCTATAGAGTATGGTCACACTTCAAGTCCTTCTTCTCAATTCTTATTTAGGGATTTGGAGCATGCATACATACACACTCAGTGTGTTTCTTGAGCAGCAGGGTGTGGGACTCAAACTGTGGTCAGTCATACAGGATCCAGCCACCTTAACCACCATGACACAAGCTAGCCTCAATTTATTTTTCAAATAATGATGCAAAAGTCATTCCCAAAATTACTAAGATAATTTATATATATCCACAATTATGAAATCTCACTATGTTTTAAAAGTCATCTGTGGGTAAAGGAAACATAAAAAAGAAGAAAAATACTTTTGGTCTTGTCCCTCTCCCGGAATGTAGTAAGATAAATGATGATTTTCTAAAGACATCTGGTTATAATTCCCAGAATCCATAAATATGTTAACTTACATGTTTTCTTCCTTTTTTTTCTATTTTTTCTCTTTCATGATAAACTATGCAAGTCATACAGACAAGTAATTTTGAATAAAAATCTTCTTTTAATTTCTGCAAAAGCCAAAAGACAGAACATTGCTGACACTTTGTAAATTTCTCATAAGCATTTCTCTAGTCACTATGCCTACCTGGTACCATTAGGAGTAATCTCTGTTGGTATTCAGAAATTTTCTTTTTAACTACAATCTATAAATATAAGTTCTGAAAGTATAAATATTAACTTTGCTTCTCTTTAAAATTAATATAAATTAGGGGCCGGCAGGTGGCCTGGTGTTTAAGGGTACTAGGCTCCCTCATGGCTGACCATGCTTCAAGTCCCGGCCCTGGCAACTTGCTTTCTCTCTCTCTCTCTTCCCCTCTGATCCAAATAAATAAAATAAATAAATAAATAAAGTTAAATAAAAAATTCTTTTAAAAAAGTCTTATAAATTGAACCTTAGAGTATACATTCCATTATGTCTGCCTCACTTTTTTCACCATTTTGTCTTAAAAGTATATTTAAGTTATTAGATGCTGCTAGTTAATTTTTTTATTGCTGAAGAATGTTCTACCCAGTGAACATACCATAATCTGTTTATCTATATTAGTAATGGATTTGGGGCTGTTTCTCCTTTGTCTCATCTGGAAATTCTGCCATGAACATTCTTACACAGGAGTCTGTTCCTAACACATTGCACAGAAGCCTCGTCCTATGGGATATATTGAAGACCTGCAATACAGGGAGCTCGTTTCTCTCCCTCTCTAGCTCTTCTTTTTTTTAGACTGGGTTTTTTTTATTAAAAAATCTTTCAAAGTAGCTGTGTTAATTTGTATTCCATCTACATTGAGTGAAATCTCTCATTTCTTCCAATTATGTTAACATTGACTACTGTCAGAGTAGGCATTTTAATATTTTCAAAACTTAATTGAAAGTAGTGGTGCCTCTTGATGTAAGATTTATTCTCTTGCTGTATGAAGGCACATATGTTTTCAGATTTTTAGTAAGTTACTACTTATCAAATCACCCTCCAAACTAATTATTAAAAAGTTACTCTGGGGACCAGCATTAGTGTAATGGCTATGTCGCTGAACTCCCATGTAGTCGACCACAGTTTGAGTCCTGGACCCAGTGGCTTAAACTCATGCTGGGCATGTGTGCATGCGTGCCCAAGGTCCTGAGAGGAGAAGGGATTGCGGCATGGCCACCCCCATGGGCGGTGCTTTCTTGCTTTCTGTCTCTCTCAGTCTTTCTGGAGAGTGCAAGTACCCTATAGCAAAAACTTCTCCAAAAAAAAAAAAATAGTCACTCTGTTATACACTGCTCAGTGGTGCCAGATTTTTTATAAAGTAAATGCCTATTTATGTGTGGGTCTTTTTCTTTTTCTTTTCTTTTAAATTATTTACTTAATTTTATTTATTCATTCGTTTATTTTATTTTGGCCAAAGAGACACAGAGAGAGAGAGAGGGAAAGTGAGACAGCAAGCCACCAGGTCCAGGACTGGAACCATGGATAGCCATGTGGGAGTGCCCAGCACCATAACCACCATGCCACCTGCTGGTCCTTGTGTGGGTCTTTTTCTATACTCTATATAATTCTATTTTTTTACACTTAGAACCACTCATATTTAATAGTCTTTGCTATTCACTAGAACAACTCCTGAAAACTTGCCATTTTTCCCCCCTAGAGTGATTGAAATATTCTTGGGTCTTTATCAAACAAATTTTAGTGTCATCCGTATTTGGATTTAATGTTTTATTACAGTAAATTTATAGATCCATTTGAGAAGAAATCTTGTTTGCATCGCCAAACCTTCCAAATTACAAGCTTGTTATATCTTTCCTTTTATTTAGATATATTTCATTTGTGTAATAAACATTTTATTAAATTTTTTTCTTTAAAGTTCTTGCATATATTTTGTTTAAAAAAATCACTAAGTGCATTGTATTTTTATGTCAATTTTAAAAGGTGTTGTTTTAGATCCTAAAACAATTAATTTTTGTATTTATTTTGCTTCTTGTGAAGCTGTGGTAGGCAGTTAGTTAGCCATGAGCGGGCAGCCTAAGAGAAAAACGAAAGGCTCACCTAGCCCCAGGAGCCAAGAGAGCAAGGCAATTTGCCATCTTCCTTCCTTGGGGCCTGAGGGAAGCACACCGGGATGATTCTTAGATTTTTCTCTTATCAAAAAGACCCGACCAACATTTTGGTCAACACCCTAATCCCCAAGTAAGTGTTTAGGTCAACACCCTAATTCCCACTAAGTCAATGTCCTAAATCCCACTAGGACGATGAATTAATTAGGCAGTCTAATTAAACAACCTGGCTCACTCTGGGCATGATCAATAAGGTGATCAAATTCCTCATTCCTTACCTGTGAGAGAAGTGCACAAGTACAGGAGAAAACTCGCGAATTCAAATTCAAACGAAGGACATAGGTAGTATGACAGACCTCCCACCAATAAATATTCATGATCACTCTAGTAATAAAAGTAACAACCAGTACCAAGCGTAGTTCGTTGCCACTTGGCAATCTGCCCGCCCAAGAGCCTTTTGGGGTGTACTTTCCTTTCTTTCCTATTAAACTTTCTCTTCTACCTACTTCATTTGTGGTTGTGGTTTCATTTTGAGTCTAGGGACAGATCTCTAATTTTAGTGATCTGAACTCAAAGAACCAAGGACTTCATAACACAGCTCGATATTCTCCTATCCGTTAACAAAGCCACTAAAATCTCTTCTAAATTTTTTAATTTCTTTATAGGTTATTATGGATTTTCAACATGAATTTAATGTATCTGGAGAAATATATTCGTATTTTGTTGTCTCCAATATTATTCTTATTTTTAACACTTGGTTAAGTAGCTAGAAACTTTAGTATAATATTAAATAAATAGTAAAGATGGGCAGCCACGAGTACTTCATTTCACAGGAAAATCACTTATATTTCATATTTAAAACTTTTAAATGAATTTTTGTTTTTCAATGAACTAAATTTTTGCTTTCCTTTTTTTAACTTATTTTTTTTTATTTTGGATAGTAGATGTTGAAATTTTCTATTTTTTCTGTATTTTATAATGTGATTTAGTTCCTTTAGTATTTCAATGTCACAACCTACACTTTTTGACTTTCTAATGTTGAACAATTTTTTTCTGAGAAAGCTAACTTAAACATGATATAACAGATTACTCTTACTGTGTCTAGATTAGCTTAATATGTCAATATTAAGAATTAATTTTAAATTCTATACATAGAAATAAAATTGTTCTGTACTTTTCTTGCACCATGCTATGTAGTTTAGATTTTGGCATAAAACTTCCGCTGACCTTGAGCTAGATGGTGACACTGTTCCTGGTTCATGTCCTAGGCCTCCTTCTAGACTCTGGGCAAGCGTATGCTCATTTGCTGTGATTGGCTGAAGCTGCGGATGGATGACAACATCAAGGCCCCATTAGGGAGATGTTTCTCTCTATGGTAAGCCATGTGGGATCCAGCTACCTTAACCACCAGGCCACAGAGGCAGCTCTTATCTTTTTAATTCCATTGGGTAACTACATTATCTATTCGAAGATCATTATGTGATAGGCAATTAGTTAGCTGTGAGGGGGCAGCCATAAGAAAAAAAGTGGAAGGCTCATCTAGCTCCAGGCACCAGGAGGGTGAGGCAATTTGCCATCTTCCTTCCTTGAGGCCTGAGGGAAGCACACAGGGATGATTCATAGATTTTTCTCTTATCAAAAAAACCTAAGCAAGCGTTTTGGTCAATGCCCTAATTCCCATTAGGGCGATGGACTAATTGGGCAGTCTAGCACTGGGCATGCGCAATTAGGTGATCAAGTTCCTCATTCTTTAACTGTGATGAAAGTGAGCAGGTGCAGGAAAAGAACCTGTGGGTTCAAATTTAAAGGAAGAACCTAGGCAGTGTAACGACCTCCCACTAATGAATATTCATGACCTCTAGTAATAAAAATAACGGTTAACTAGTACCAAGAGTTGTTGCCACCAGGCAATCTGCCCGCCCAAGAACCTTTTTGGGTGTACTTTCTTTCCGTGTTTGCGTGTACTTCCTTCCTTCCTTTCCTTTCCTTTCTTCCTATTAAATCTTCCTTTCTACCTACTTCATTCGTGGTTGCAGTTTTATTTTAAACCTAGGGACAGATCTCTAATTTTAGTGATCTGTACCAAAGAACCAAG